ATCTTCCATGTGTCAGTGTACCAGCTTTTCTCTTTAAACAGAAAGATTGTGGTTGGGTAGGGGAAATAGAGGAGAAGGGGGTTATATTTCCTTACAATTGAAGATAATTAGGTTGTTTTAGTTAAGTTAGGTTATCACATTAGCTATTAAAAAGTGCATCAGTAAAGTGCACATTGCACTTTCCCTGTCTCTTCATTTCCTTAGGTGATAACAGGGAAAAAATGTGTGGAACAGGACTCTCATTTAATTTTGAACTTAATACTCTAAAATTGAGCGTGGTTATTGGGAGTTCCAGTATGGGAGGTAAGGAGGTAATGAGACAAATTTCTTGTCCTGAATTTGGAGATTGTTTTTGTATGCATAAATGTGAATTTCCTTAAAGTATTTAAGACTGTTTCAGCTTTGCTATTGTGGTATATTAAGCATATTGTAAAATCAGATAAATTTTCCCTGTTTTCTTGCAAACTGAGATGCCTCAGGCATGTTTGTGCTGCTTGTATGACATGTGAAGTTGTCTGAGGTAGCTTAATTAACATCCAGACTGAAGAGGGCAGAGAGGAAAACAGGTTCCAGTCTTGGTTTCCTATGGAGTCTTCTGGAAGAAGTGTTCACAATGTCTACATAAGGAACTCGTCATAAGGAGCTTGAATACTTCCTATTGATTAATGTAACTGGTGTCACAAATCTGGTGGAACAAAGAAGTCAAATGTCTAAGAAATCATGGAGTATCAAGATACTGATTTTTATACCAATGATGTTTTCTGACTGTCACTTCCATGTGTTGCTCTTTGTAGTATGCCTACAAACAAAAGAAAAAAAACCACCTTTCTTTATAATGTACAAAATTTGTAATCTACGTAGGATTTACAAGTCTCATTCCCTCGAACAGAAGCGTAGAAGTTAATTCTTGTTCAAGGATATGACAAACTCTGCATCTCCATTCCCATTTTTTACTTCTTTTTTCATTTCAGTCAGCGAAAAGAATATTTATTGCTGGAAAAGGCCTTATCTGGCTATACCTTAAAGATAGATCCTAAAATCTCTTATTATTTCAGTTGCTTCATTTCTCTTTCTTTTCTGTCTCGCTCTTTCCCCACAAGATTGGCCCAACATTTCTGAATGTTAGGGGAGGTGACTCTATCCCTTTTTAAAGCAAGGCACTTTGAAAAACAGGGATATGACTATTACTTGACATTCAGGCTGAGCATGTACCTCCTTGGTTTTATGGAAGTGCTTTTTTTCATGGAGCCTAGAAGGCTAATTGTACTTCATTGATAGACCCTTTACTTTGCTACCAGATCTTGTTACTGTACTCCCTATTTTTTTAGATTATTTTTTTATGGTTTGACTCTCTCAAAAAAAAATCTGATGGTTGAGTGAGCACAACCAAACTGGCAAAACCTTCTTATACCCACCCCCAGTAGCCATAAGGTTTATTAGCCAAAGCGATGAAGAAGAAAATGTGAATGTTGAGTACATTACTTACCCCCTCTTTGCCCTATACTTGCATTTGTAAAATAGAGGCTGAAATACTAAACCACACCAAATGATGAACCTTAATGCATGTTGGTAAATCACTTACTATTGCCAAATACACTACAGAAATGCCTTGTTAATGTTACCTAAATTATGTCACTGATCAAAAAATGGAATCAAATATGTTCTTGCTTGTACTGCAGAATTTATGGTTCAGCATATTGATTTCTAGCTAGATGCTCTTACAACATGCTAAAGTTGGTAGGGATCTGTGATAGCATTGCTGCAGTGTTTTATTATTAATCAAAGACAAAAACATTTCTGGTCCAAGAATTCCAAAGCATGTCATGTACTTTGGTATATAGAGTTAAATTTCTCTTCCCATGCCCCAAGTAAATTGCAAATTAACGCTAATAAATCACATTGCAGCAGTTGGTAAGAAGTGAAAGTATATTAATAATTAAATAGTTCTTTTCAGCCACCCCTCCCCCCTTCCTTTTTTATGTGGTGATTTTCTAGACTTGAAATCAGTGTATCTCATGCAGGCTATCTATAATATATAGTTGTTTCAAATCAGCTTTACTTACTGAGCTTTTTCTAGTAATGGAGCTCTGTCAGCAAAAAGCATATGCACCAGCAAATGATGAACGATGGACTTGTGTCAAATGGAAGCTTGAAAGGTGCTTCTGTAGTTAAATGGATTAGTCTGCACCAGAAGTTCAAAACTCCTCAAGTGTAATTGTTTCAGAGAAAAGGTATCTCTGGATTGATAGGGGAGGCTAAGCAATGAGAGCTGGAGGAAGAACTACTTTATCAGATGTAAGTGAGGGTTTACTAATCCACAAGAGGGATAGGCTTTGCTGCTACAAGATTGCTGGCTTGATGCTTCTGCGAGTTTTCTTCTTTTTTTTTTTTTAATGTGAAATTTGTAATGATTTAAATTTATGTCAGTGAAAGACACAGATATTTTGGGAATTTTTTTCTTACAAAATTAAGAATTTTATTAATTATAAATTGTATTAATTAAGAATTAATTAATACAAGTTTAATTCCATGTATGTGGCCATGTGCAACAGTAATTTCAAAATAATATGTAACATTTTTCATACACTTTCTAAAAATGTTGGTTCTTGTTTCAGTAGTAGTGTTAGCTATGAAACTGACTTAGTCCACTATAGTTATATTGCAGTTACACACTGAATAAGGTAATCATAGATTTCTATCTAAATGCAAAAAACCATGCATGTAAATTGTAAATTTATATAAATAGTCTTCTATTACTGTTGCTCATTAAATATTTCATGATTTGTGTTGTTAATGTGTAAATGTTATTCGGAAGAAAATATTTTCAGGGGAAGAAATTTACATTAGGAATTAAAGTTTTGAAATATTTTTCCTGGTTTTTTTTTGTATATAAGTTTGGCTATGCTTAAAGTGGGTGTGCCATTAGAATGTTCAACAAAAGAATAGCTATAAGCAGGGAGGCTTTCACTGCTCCTCAGTCTTCCCGTTGTGCCAGTTTTTCCTTCTCTTCTGCTTCTTTGCAATTGTTAGCCTTCATGTGAACTGAAAGGTACTTCAAAACACTGGAAGAAAATAGTCTGAAAGCTTCATGCGCATTTGCTTCATAGTAAAGAGAAGTGAAGAAGTTGAAGACTTTTTCCACTGACAGGTGTTTGTGTGTCAGAGCAATGAATGCTTTTGATGGCAAACCCACTTGCTTTTCTTCATTGTACTCTTCTTTCTAAATATTAAAAAAAAAAGACAAATTCTGACAACAAAAATTCTCCAAACTGTATAATACAAAGCTTGCTTTATTTATTTATATTTTATAAAAGAAGGTATTTAAATTATTTCAGTGGCTATTCACTTTCTTTTTGTGTGGGTGAAAAAAACAGCAGTTGAGCAGTGCCTAGAATGGTGAAGGCACTTTTTAGTTGTATCCTCATTATGATACAAAAAAAAATTATCACCTGGTGATTAGTTGGTACAAAATGTCATTGTCTTACAGATTGCACACCATCCTTTGAAATAATGAGTCCCATCTTACAGAGCGTGAAACTATTCTAAATAACCATTCTTTTTAAAATTTGTTCTTACATTTTTCAGTCCTCTTGTGTTAGTTTATTAGCATGGCACATGGCTGTTATTTACTTAGTTTATTATTTGGCTGAAGATGGTAATTGAAGATTTTTTTGCAGGTGTTAAGTGTTCTGGTCTTTGGTTGCTTTCATATGTTAAGCCGTGCAATGCAGTTGCATCATATGGAATTGCATATGCATCAATGGCACAGTCAAATCGACCATTTGGAAGAGACTAAAAACAAGAGTCGAGAAAAATATGACTAAGTAAGCCTGTTCTGTCAAACATGAGAAAAACTCTTCCTGTTTAATATGAAAAAAAATTAACTAAATAAATTAATAACCCATTTGGTTGTAACAAAGTTCATTTTTTCTTTCCATTAATGGTGGAAGCAATTTGAATGATGGCTAAAAATGGTACAAAAGTGAAGTCTGAACTTACATAGACAACATTTGGCAGAAGTGCTGGGTTATTCATCCTTGCAAGAAATTGAAATAGATGCTATGTAAATTGTGATGCAGACTGAAACTGACCCAGTAGTATAAAGAAGCCTTTTTTTGAGGGATATTTTTATCAGACCACAATGGGCAGGAAAAGCAAATGTATAACTGTAGAAAACTGAGTTACTTGGAAGTGAGCAGAAAGCACGTTTAATCCAAACTAGTTGTTCTCTTTTACCTCAAAGCAATTTCAATATGTATGATCCAGTTTTTTACTATCTAGCTTCTGTGGATAGCTGTGAAAAATAGTTTCACATAATGGGTAAATGAAGTATTATACCAGAATTTTTGGAACTCTTCACTTTTCTATACAATACATCTAGAGAGCTGTTTTACAACATGCTTCCTTCCAAGCCTGATAAAAGTTTTCTGAAGGTCAGGATTTTGTTATTATCTTTTTAGTTGTGTCACTTAATGCAAAAGAATTCTCTTATAGGACATTTAAAAGGGATTGCCAAGTAATGTGTCTGCCTTATTACCATTGACTCCTAAAATACAAGATTTCAGAAGGTTTCCACATAAAGTGCTGCACCCATTAGGTCCTGCAAGTGCAGGTGAGTGAGGAGTGTGCTGCTGGGTTCTTTGAGCCATGCACTGGGAAGGGAGCAGATGTTTCCCAACATGATCCTGAGGACAGAGCTGCTGCAGCAGGCACATCCCTGGCTGTGTCAGGCTCAGCCAGCCTACAGTCCTGGAACAGCTTGGAGGCCAAGGTGTGTGCTCAAACACCGTGTGTGGGTTGCAGCTGGGGAGTATTAGGGAAAAGTCTGATTCATTTGACTCTTGAGAATGCTCAATCCCCATGAGTTTTGAAGAAGAGCCTGGGAAGACAGGTGACAGGGCACCTGGACAGTGCACGTAGTGACTGGTGAGAATGCGCAGACTGGCTCCACAGAGCCTCTCGTCATAACAAAGGTGAGTCTTGCATTATGACTGTAGCTGCTGTAATGTTGCTGGCCTTTGTACCTCTCCTTTTTCTTCTGCCCAAAAGCTTATACCAAATCTCTTTTAGAAGAGCACAACTACAGGAAGGTGTAAAAAGGATTGTTCTCTGTTACGTTGCATAATAGCAAGTATAAATTTTGAAAAGAAAGTATAAGATTCTCAGGTGATGTGTAAATGTAAATTTTGACCAGGCTTCATCATCAGCGCAGTTGCTGTATATTAACCACCACCTATACAGCAGTGATATGTGTGGGACCAGGAGTGCTGCTTGGAAGCTAAGGTAGCCCAGCAAAAGGAGTTGGAGTGGAAAATAGGAAGATCTGAGTGGCTGAAGTGCTACTTAAGAGATGATGAGAACCTTTGCCAGTGAGATGGGAGATTTCAACGCGCTCTGTCCTCCTTAGTTCTCTCTTCAAGGTAAAAAAGTGCGACCTGGAGTCATGAAGTCACGCTGCCTTTGTCTTGTGTGAAACTGTGCTTTGCCCTGTTTCCAATCTTTTCAGAAGTGGACTGTTTTCTGCCCGTCCCTGTAGCTTCCTCTTGATGTTAAAGCTATAAACCAGGGATATGCCTGAGTAGAGCCAGTCACAGATGCTCTGCCAGCATGTGACTGGTGTGCTTGAGCTTTATCATTCCTGCTAACTGACCCTTTCACTAAAAGTTTAATAGGGGATAAATTCACATGTGAATTCATAATCCCCTCAGTTGTGCCAGAAGGATTCCTTAACAAGCAGGCAACAAAGAGAATCTTATACAGCTGGATTTTTTATTCCTCCTCCTCTTCTTTCTCTTTCCAAATTTATTGGGTAGACTACTTCAAGGATATGTCTTTAACTGTCATCCCAATATTTATTTGTGCATAACCTAAACAAACAAAGGCAGTATATTCAATGTGGCTTTCACAGCAGCTGTATGCATGGAATTGAAAACATTTTTGAGCTTTCAAGTACAATAGGTGGAAATACTATATTCTTCCAAATATTTATTATTTAGTATTTATTCTTACTCACTATAATGTAGAAATTGTGCTTTCTTAGCATGTATCTTTGGAACTTATATGAAGTGTCTATTGTGCCACATTAGTTTATGGGGCTCTTCTGCTATTTCAGAATTCTGTATGTTGTTTGCTACTCTTACCTAAAGAAGCCTGTAAATGCAGATATTGTGAATATTTTTAGTATAAACCACTTTTAATCAACTTGGTTACTGTTACTTTGATTTTGAGAAATGGAATTGTTTCTCCTAATGTTCTGTTAAAGCGCCTTTAAAATGATGATATCATCAACTACTACATTTAAAAGCTTCAGGGTTGCAACATTTATTGAGCAGTGCTCATGGAAGGAGTATAAAGGATGTCTGGAGACTTTCTGCTTTTATAAAGAGGACACTTCTTTTTGTGGTCTGTGTGAAATGTTTAATTTTTAAAATTTAATATTCTGTTTATGGCATGGAAAACAAGGAAATATGCATAATCTCTTTACAGTACTTGGTTTTTGAACCAAAACCTACTGGTATGTGCTAGCTTGAGTGAAATGTCTTTCAAAGCTCTTATTCCAGAGCCCTGGCTTTTCATAATTTCATTGTGTATGCAACCAAGGTTGCACAGAGATGTTTCTTCTGCTTAAACTGTTCCTCCCCTATCAGTAGGCATCTACTTTAGGGAATATTTTTTTGCTGTGAGACCTGCCACATTCTAAAGGTCTGTGTAACTTTAGAACTTGGCATTTCCTCAGTGGAACCATTAAAAGGTGGCTTTGTTTTGCTAAACTTTAACAGAAGAAGGATGCAGATGTCTTTGGCAGGAAGAAATCCAGTGTGAGTATACAATCCCAAGGGAAGGGGGTAATGTGTATGTGGTGTGTGTGTGGGTGTGATGCAGGTTGTGGGATCAAGAAAGTCAGCTGCATGGAGTCTCGGAAGTTAATAGTGAGGTGTTGCTCACAGGGATTGGTGGTGACTAGTTGTGGGTTTTCTTTTTTGTTTGATTTTTTTCTTTTTAGTGTAATTTGAGAAATTGTGCCTTGAAATATTTTGACTTCTGAAATACAATGGATGTGTTATCTTTCAAAAATTCAGCAACAAATTTGTCTTTTACTCTCTGCTTGTTCTTCCTCCCTCACCTCAAGTGAAACTGTTTTAAGGACTGAGGATAAGTAAAATAGTTTTCCCCTTAGTAATATGGAGTTTCAACATCCTTAATTTGGAAGGAGCTTTTTTGTATCTAGTGATGATTGTTCTGAGGTCTGCAAACTAATTCATCAAATTTGGGCAGCTGATAATGGAATATTTTGGCACCTGCCATTAATGTATTTGAACACCTGTATGATTACGGGGTATGTTATTTATTTATTTATTGTTTTTATTTTATTTTTAGCTCTGTGACTAAGTGTTCATAATCATTCAGTATCTGGCAACAAGTAAGGGGTTCCTCTTAATGGAAGCTTTAGAAAACAGAGACAGTCCTGGGACACTTTTGACATCAATTCCAAACTTCTGTTTTCTCTTTATTGTTAAGGAAAAATTAACACCAGGTAAGAGAGCTGCATGTCCTAAAATAATGCATTTTAGTTGATTGAAGAACTCTTGCTTCAGAAAAGCTGCTTTGGCAAGCTTGGAATTTGGATCTCTTTACAGATCAGAATTAGGCAGCAAATGTACCGGCAGTGTCCTGGCAGTCGCTGGAAAAATGTGTAAGGACTTCGTTGCTGAAACTTTTGATCCTATACACTCATTAAATTCAAAATACTTACTTAATTTTATGATTCATATAGAGGTACTAAATGTTGCTGTTTTGCCAGCATTTTTCTTTATCTAGTACGGTGAATAGGAAGACCTGTAAGTGTACCTTGTTGTAAAGGTATAATTTTCATTCTGTGATTTTAAATTATACATGGGCTTTTAGTATAAAGTAATAACAACAGTTTGGGTGATCATGTATTAAACTGATTGTTACAACAGTAGTTTATACAGTTTTCTTAAATGATAAGAATTTCCATTTCTGGGCATGGCTTCAGTGCAAATTGTACAGTACTATCTTAAACTGCTTGGAGGAGATGATTAAAATCTTCCCCCAGGATTTAATACCACTGGATTTTTCATAGTGTCTCTGAAGTTCACAGTGGTTTGCATTGATGGGTAGGAGGACTGTCACTCCTAGAAATACCATTGAAATTGTACACTTACAAGAAATTTAATTCTTATTTCCTAAGTTAAGGAAGAATATTTTTCCAGGAATAGGTGGGAAAAAATCATCTTTCTTTTCACGCTCTGAAGCAGGATGGTATTACTGCTTGTTAGCCCACCTGCCCCATCATGGTTGGAGGCCACAACCCAGTATCTTGTTGCTTCCCAAAGACTCTGTACCCTGGAGGCTCGGTGCTGTAATTGCACAGCAACGAACAGTTGGATGAGAATAATGGAGTATGTGAAAGGGTATCCCCTGGAAGGGAAGGCTTGGGATTCTCCAGGACTAGGAGCTGTGGGATCTGGTTTGACTTGGTAAACACTGCTTGTAGGCTGTAGTGGTAAATTTTCACCATGTGTTATTTCAGCAGGATATCTGATGCCTTCCTGTGTTCTGCTGGAACTGCTACTGTTCATTTTCTCTTGGGTAGATCAGACATAACTGAGACTGAATCCATGTTAGTGGTTTTACTTGGCAGCAGGTAGATTTGAAAGCACATCCCCCATAAATCCCTGCATACTGATCACTGATTTGTTCCACAAACTGGTTTAAGCACATGCAGACTAGACTCTTTTTGGGGAAAACTAGACTAAACTGGAAGCTGTATTCTAGGTTTGCACAAAGCAAGTGTTAACCTCCTGGGAAGTTATAATGATTTGAGACCTTTGAATATCTTCAAACCATGTGGGTAATGGCCTTGGTACACTTATCATGCTTTTTGGGGAGACAATTTAGTAGGAGATGAATAAAGGAGTAAGTATCTTGACAGATAATTGGACATGTAAAGACAATGACAGCTTTTTGCCACCTAATTATATTTAGGCCAGAATTGCTTTGTTACTGTGCTGGGCAGTACATTGCAGCTTGTTGTTCAATAACTGCTACAATATATAAATATATATAAATGTATGTGTTCTCAGCCCTGGTGAGGGCACATCTGCAGTACTATGTCCAGTTCTGGGCTCCTCAGTACAAAAAAGACAAGAAGCTTCTGGAGAGGGTCCAGCAGAGATCACAAGGAAGGGACTATGGGGTCTGGAGCATCTCTAATAGGAGAGACTGCAGGAGCTGGGCCTGTTTAGTCTGCAAAAGAGAAGCCAGAGGGAATCCCATCAATCCATACAAATATCTCCAAGGTGGGTGTTGGATGGGATGCTGCCAGACTCTTTTCAGTGGTGCCTAGAATCAGGACAAGGCACAATGGCTGTAAACTAAAACACAAGAAGTTCCACCTCAACATCAGGAAGAATGAGGATGGCAGAACAGTGGAACAAGCTGCCCAGGGAGGCAGTAGTGCCTGCAATGCCACAAGATCTTAAGATATTTTTTTGCCAGCAGTCACTTCATCTGTACTCAATTCATGCATCTCTGAAAAGCAGCAAACCAATTAAAAATTCTAAACCAGCTAGAAAAGAAACCAAATTAATTTAACTTCATCTTCCCAAGCTTTCTCCATCAGTGATGAAATTGATTGCAGTTTTTAGAAAACTACAGGAGCATTCTTTCAAAATGTAAATATCTTTGTCATTGCCATCTGTGTGTTTTAGGGTGTGTAAAAACCCTTCTTTTGCACCATGTCACAGGCTTTTTATAGGGCCTGTATTTCTCTGGGTGTATGGCACATTGCAAAAGGCTAACTATATTGCCAGTAAAATAGTGCTTTACAGAACTTCTGTGGAAATCACACTTCCACTCTTTTATTCCAACTAGATTTTCTTTGTTTTGCCTCTTTTATTAGCAGTCATGGTATACTTTTCATTGATCAAGACACAAAGCTTTCTGAAGAATTCTGTTTCATGTTATTAATACTAAATTTAATTTGCTATATAATGAATTTTAAACATAAATTAAGTAGCTAATATATTAATTTTTGTCCCCTTTTTTTCTTATTTCTAGATACACCTTTTGCAATAGCAGTATATTAGAGGTAGCTTTGTAGTTTAAAGAATCTTCTTTGCCATCTTGTCAATAATGTTCATTGCCCAAATTGTGCTACAGTATTCTTCAGTAATATATTTTGTTTTGATATTTAAACTAAGTTTATAATTTTTTAAACTGTTCTGGTCCTAGGTCTGTAAATTAATTTGCAAGGGCATTAAGGGACAATTAAGTGATTGTGGTACATTTTTAAACCATGCAAAGTTTGATGTATGTTTTATGATATAGCTGCTGGTGTGCTAGTCTTCAGGAAAAATGTAAGCAAATGGAAGTTGTAAAGGTATTTTTATTGGCTAAGCTGCATAGAAACAGAGTAAAACTCTTCTTGTTTCTTGCTAGCTTGCATCTTAGAGATGCTGCTTGTTTATTTTGACTGTTAATAATTCCACCAGCTATTTCTCTGAATTTCTATTCTTTGCTGAATTTTTCTATGTCTGTGATGGTGAAAGAGCTAGGAAGAGTTTATGCTGAGAAGACACATTCAGTGTGCCGTGGCAAATGTTTAACTTGTTTTTGTTCAGTGTTATATTGCAATTTTTCTAATACCATTGCGGTCATCCGTAGTTGTTTGGGTATCTGGTGTGCATTACTTCTAGCCATTTTAATGAAATATTACAGTTATTAACTATGGCTACTGGTTTATAGTGGCTGTAATCCTTGAATGTTGTCTGTTATTGTAGTTTAGGACCACTTTGTTAGGGTATTAGCCACCTTCTGGTTTGCATCAAGGTGGCTGTCTAATGGATCATTAACCGCCAGTGAGGCCCGGGTCCTTGGGGGCTTGCTGGGTACAGCACTTGTGGCATGAGAAGTAAAGCTCATAGAGAAGAAATCTGAATTTAGTGCACCCTGATGCAGTGTGAAATGAAATTACTCTGTCCTCATAGTATCTTGGGGTTTGCTCTAACACTCTGTTGCTACAAGTGCAGTGTGTTTTACATGCTGGGAGTGGGCAGGTGTTGATGAAGTGGACACTCCCGAGGCAAACACCACTGTTCTCTCCTCTGTTCAAGATGCTGATCTTGATACTGCTTTTTTGGTAGGTATTTATCCTCTTCTGGAGAAAATTGTTCTTATTCTCTACACTAAATTTGAAGACAACACAGTAACAGTTATAGGTGGGTTATGTGTGTTTATTCTCCCCTCCGTTTTTCTGCTGTGATGTTTCCCCCCCAACACTCCTTCAAATAAATGCAGAGAGCTGGCAATGTATGAAGAACTGCTGATGAAAGGGAAGTTCATATCTGTGTGTGTTTTTTGGTAATCTGCACTTTTCTGAGGCCTCCTTCTTCAATTCCTGGCCTTCCAATAGTACATTTAGCATCTAAACTTCCCTCTGTTGGAGATGGTTCCATGGTTAGATCAGTCCCAGGCCTTGCTCCTCAGCCTCAGTGATAGTTGGAGGCAACAAAGGGATTCCTCTTGAGGCTTCTGATTAAGAATATCCTCTTGCTTGATTAGGATTTTCACTTGGGCTATTCAGAGGTTGGTTAGAAGTGATGTTCCTGAGAAGTCTTCAGGTCTTAGGAGATAGCTAAATATTTGGTCTTCTTCCTCTTCAGTCTTTTTTATGGAGTTACGTGTGTTTTGTATGTTTCTGCCAGATAACAGCTCTAGATGTCTTTACCTATATTTTAAAATTCAGCTCAGAGAGACTTCCACTGACCTTACTGAAATTCTTGTGTGAGCCA